CACCCACTAGCAGGTTGAATAATATCCGGTCTTATAACCACATACTCACTTGCATGTTGGGTATTGTCCTCCCTGATAACCCCATACTTGTATGCTGGATACTAGCCGTTACGATAACTCCATACTTACTAACATGCTGGATACCATCCGCTCTGATAACCCCATACTTACTAACATGTTGGATACTATCCGTTCTGATAACACCATACTTACAAGCATGTTGGATACTATCCGTTCTGATAACACCATACTTACAAGCATGTTGGATACTCCCCGTTTGCCGCCTCTATGTTTACTGTTGCAAAGAAGTTCCCCAGGCACGCGTCGGTAGCCCCCATGTATTCAGATGCTTCGAAACATTCCTCTACCTTTTTGTAATCTGATAGGGGAAAAAGAGATTGAAATATTTCTGTCAAAATTGAAGAACAGAAGTCAAAACAAAACATGTAACTATATATTAAATATTTGGCTGCAATTTGTGTTTATACAGGTAAGCAAGTTTATGGAACAAATAATTTTCATTAAAACTTCCACGCAATATATTTTACTCTGCCCCTGCTTACTGGGGGGATACATATATCCGGCCCTGACTCCAGGTGAGACGCTGTCGTCTGCTCACCTTCCAAGCCGTCCTCACACAGAAAATCAAAGGCGTCCTCCATGGCATCAATCTGCCTCTCCACCAATGGCGGACACGTCTCCTTCAGCGGTTTAAAGCAATCTTCAGACTCCTCGTAATGGCTGGAAGAAAGGTGCATTTCTCAGGACATATACCTGACATCGGTGGTCAGTTTTACCACAGAACATTTATCTTTTAAGACTTTAAAAAATCTGTTTTAAATTTGAGCCTGCATTTTAGTCTGCCTTGTTCCAAGTCAAATCACTATCAGTCGACCAACATGTAGTATTACAGCTTTACCATTTAAAAAGAAATTACACATGGCTTAATTAAGCGTAAGATTTTAATGAACCACTTTATATTATTTGATTTATCCTGGCTTTAAGTACATATAAATTTACGCGTTTTTTTGTTTTGAACAACTCTCGGTATTACGGTCTTTTATGATATAATACCGGCGCACTATTCTATAAAAACACTTTGAAGTCATAAACTGCACTCTGTAGAATGTTTAAGTTGAACATTCCTCTGAGATTCGAAGAGTATTTCGATTTTTGAAATAACAGTATCTATAAATAATTAAATATTATTAATTATAAGTTATTAAAAATATAATTGATAATACTTTTATTAGTTATTAAAAATATCAGTGCACCACCTACTCGCAGAGTGTCTTAAGGGCGTTCTCCCGGTATCTAGGAAAGAGGTCAGAGAGCACATCAAGGGAATAGCGTCTCATCGGGGCCATACACTCTGCCACCTGGCCATCGCTGCACATCTGACTGCGACCACCTGAAAATTCAGTAGGATGTAGTGCACATATAGTAGCAGTAGTAGTGGTAGTAGTAGTAGTTGTTGTTGTGGTAGTTGTAGTAGTAGTACCGGCAGTAGTAGTCGTAGTTGTAGTGATTGTAGTAGTAGAACTAGTAATATCAGAGGCGGATCCAGGATTATTTGAAGGGACCAAAAAAATTAAGATACTTTAGAGGGAGAACGGTATCATTTGGGACGGTTTAGAAATATGATTCAGCTAGTCAAAATTCGAATTTCAAGAAGGGATCATTGCTGTAATTATTTCAGAAATCGAGTGGGGTCAGCACCCCTGGTATACCCCGCCTTAAATCCGCCATGAAAATTTTCTATAGGATGTACCACAGGACTCCAATTTCACTCTATAGGAGTTCTAACGGGCGTCCTAAAGGAAATATGTTCCATAGGACCCTGTAGGGTTTTTATTTGGGCCAATTTCTTGTAGAACATCTTATGGGATCCTATAGGAAATTTCTGTTGGGGAAACGGCACATGTAGTATTAGTAGCAGGAGGAGGCGAAAAAGCGGGCGTAGTAGTTATTGCCATTGTTATTATATGTAGTACATGTAGGATCCATTGTGTGTATGTATGTGTGTGTGTATAAGTGTTAAAGTGTGTGTGTGTGTGTGTGTGAAATGCACAGTTAATAAATTTCTAGAATCATGCACACTCCCTACAATGAGTGTTTAAACAAACTTAAGACCAACACAGTTCTACTGAGTAACCTGTGCTATATAAAATACACAACAGAAAAGAGCAATCTCATGTCTTCAAGGTTAATGTATGTACACACGCACAAGAACTGAATAACTTTGCTCAAAGTGACACTCATAACAACTGTTACATGCATATTTCTCAAAAGTTCTTTATCTTGTGCATATTTTCGAGCAAAGTTAGAATCACGAAAGAAATAATAAAGTTAGTCAACCAACGATAAAATGTCTCTTCTATTTAAATGTTTGCAATTCCTACTTACCTGTTACAGCAGTAACAAGACACAACAAAAACAAGCTCCACACCATCTTGCCAAGGCTGCAATACAACACAGGTCAAATGTCACACTTTACGTCACGGATGCTCCACCAACGTCTTGTCAACAACAAAAAGAAGGCGTAGGCTCCACACGGACACGATCCCCAACAGCTGTCTGTAGACAGTCCCACACAAAACAGATTAAAGTGCTGCGGTGGGGTTCACTACATATATCCGTCCAACCTTTTGAAAGCCGCACAAACACTTTAGACAGTTATCCGAAGTTCGAAAGCACGACCGCAAAATATTGACGCAACTCTGTACAATTTTGCGCCACAGAGGAACGTGCAGGGACCCGCCAAGTGAAGATCTGTGGACTAAGTAGTCTGGCATGGCATCTCGCCCTGAGAGGAATCTTGGGAGACGTCGCGGTTAGACAGATGTGCCGCGAATACGGTGCGGGACAGGTTTGGGAGATGAAAAGGTACCTCTTCGTGCTCTGGGCACTGGGAACAGAGGCGATGACTTTCTGCACGAGAATAGCATCGTTATCATTTACTGGTTTAGTTGCTGTTGTCTATATTATACTCTGCAGGGTATGTATATTAGTTTCGTGTAGGCCTATACCTTTCGTATTGTCTCTGGATTTTAATATGCGCACAGTATAAACACGCCTCCTTCAAATTGCATTTTTACATGCAATGAAAATACGACCAATGAAGTCTCCTGAGCTAGGCGGGAAAAAATTTAATAATATGGCCATAAAATATATATTGATGGGGTTTGTTTTCATTCTGCCTCAACAGTGTGACATTATTAGTACAAGATAATTCTGCCTCAATAGAGTGACTATGTTAGTGCCAGATAATTCTACCTCAGGATTGTGACAAAGTAGGTATTAGGTAATTTTTAAGGACGCCAACAAATAAAATACCGTATACATGTACGAGACGCTGACAAAGATCTGTAAAAAAAGACCTCAAATAAAATTTGAAATCTGCTTTGATTAATAAAGATATAGTTTATTTCACTTTCAACATCTTTTAATGAGCATTAACAGCAAATCATCTCAGTGACGTAAATAAGTTCATATTTGTTTGTGAAAGCTACTGAATAACATTGCGACAGTTGTGAACTCTTTTATTACCTCCAAAACACCGTAGAGATCGACTATATAATGACGACGATCAAAATAGCAAGGGATAGACTTGTTTAATGATAAACTTAAGCTATTGGACCTTTAACCACATATGTCATTTGTTATTGAAGGTGACTTAAGTGCGGGAGTTAAAGATCTTTTAGACTACATTCCAGATGATACAGTAGATTTTTTATTTTAATATTTCATTTAAAAATGGAGATACAGACTACCCAAGTGACGCATTCTCTTCGCTACGCAAAAAAAAAAAAAAAAAAAAAAAAGACGCTTAAATCCTGAGCAATACCACTCGCCATCATGAAGTTATTAACAAAGAAAGGTCCCGTTAAACATTTGTTGCTCAAGCCAAGAACTAATGATCGAATAAAAAAGACGTTAGAGAAGACTTCATAGATATTTATGGCTGTGGTCTTTTTGTCTTAGAATGGACATTCACACGATAGGGAACGAAATGCATTTATAAACGTAATCTCCCTGGAATGATGAATTCAGATTTACACTATAACGCAATACTTAAGAACCGAATGGACAACTCGCTTGTCAGATAAATATTTGTTAATAATCATAATGTCTGACGAGAACAAAGAGAGTATTTTCTCACTGACAAAAAAACCTTATTAAACGCTTTTTAAGGACTGATATATGTAGTTAAGCTTTACTGACAAAAATAATAATAGTAACTATACACCAGATTTATTTAGACTTGTGCGATTGATATATCTTAATCAAATCGATTGATACATCTTTTTTTTTCAGAAGTTTTATTATTTACAACTTACCAAACTTGTAGTTTCTCACTTTAAATTCCTTATTTACATTTTAGATAATACATTAGAGAAGAAAACATTATCAAGTGAAACGATGAATAAATATAATTTGTGCGTTTTAGAACCTTCATACCAGCATGTGAAGGGAACGCATTAAAGTATAAGTTGACACCTGAATACTGAACCTTTGATATCTGCCGTTTTTAATAATTTTCTGAATATTAATTCTTTCAAATGATGTTCTTATTTTAGTATGCATGCATTTAAAGATAAACGTTTATATAATATTTAGCGCGATAATAAGGAAAATGCTTTAACTGATATTCATCAAATAAAGATATAATTATTGGGAACTAAGTGCATTTAATCTGATAAAGTCGTGATATCTAAACATGAATGTGCTGGTGACGCCAAAACAATAAAACCAAAGAAGTTAAATCACGCTGTCAGTCAACATTCCTCACGAGTATTATCATCATTCCTCCAAACAACGTAGTGTAAATAGATCCGGTATTAAACCGACGATAAATGTGTCTCAGATCATTTTCCGCTCACTGACTCATTTGTCGTAAAAAGGTGTTTTAAGTTGACAGGTCTCCTGTTTAAACACTAAGTTGACAGAAATATTTATTCTGCAAGGTAATCGTTTAACTTCATATTTATGTACAGATCCAGTAAAGGCGCAAATGGTGACGCCATACAAACTCGTTGCAAAGAGAGAGAAAAGGTGACGGTTCAACTTCTCTGCACAACGTGTTAAAAACGTGACACGTTCATTTTTAACTGCAGGTTTTATAACAACCTTGCGTGTTGTACTGTATTACGGAACAAGAAATCGTTAAGTGTCAAACTTTAAGCGATCTCTAGACACATTCTCCCATAGTTGCTGTATCCTTTGCAACACTCGTTAACACGAGTTGCACAGCTGAAAGATAAACAAACGTAAAAATAAAGACACATATTGATAAAAAATATCCTAAAATGACAAATGGATTAAACACTGACTCAATTAATGAATTAATCAGTAAATTAAACAAGCATTGAATTTACCTTGAATAATACATCATTTGTCAATGTATAGAAAAATGAATTAATGAACGAAAGAATAAATGAACTTAAGAGCACGAATGATATCGTCTTCCAATATGAACTGTGCAATGGCCAGCCCATACTTACTTAGCCTGCTTCTGGGTCCGGCCCCACCATCCCCACCAGAAGGCGCTGTAGCGTGGACACGGTTTCTGTTGAATTGTCTCACAGGGGGCGCTGCTGCCGCAGGCCTCTGTCTCCACCTGGTGGTGAGAATTGCTGAAGACAAGAACACAGGAAGATATTGAGAGCGATGCCTAGTGTGTAAGACGACGTTCATGGTGAATATTGAATTTTGACCATAATGTGACTATCATTTATCAAGTAATGTTTCAAAGAATATGTATTTAAAACAAATGTCTTTCGGCATGACAAAGTGTGGTGTATACATGTACGCCGTGGGATCTAGTAAACTCAAAATTAAGGTAGATGTTCTTATTTGTTTGTTTTCTATTTATCAATATATTCTGTCTGCTTTTGCATTTTATTTTGTAGAGAATAATTGAGGAATTAATTGTCGTGCGTCCCCTCTCACCTGCATTCTACGCGGTCCTTGTTCAGGCAGGTCCTGAACCTCGTGCGCTGACCACACCCAAACCCTCCACATGTCTTGCTGCATGATGACCACGATGACCACGTGGTCCAGTTTGGAACTAGAAGGAAGAAACATATCTAAATATAGGTTTGCTGGGGTTGACTTGGCAATATGTTTGACTGAAGGAATTCCGAAAAACAAAAGTCACACGCAAGAGGATTTCTTATCTAGAACCCCTCCAACTGTCTTTTTTTCTCACAGGAGGAAAAATTATTGGCTTTGTACAAATGAAGTTTCATGAAAGAAGCGTTTGCAAATTAGTTGACAGTTTGTAAAACCGTCTTATTGTCAAGGTTAATGGGAATCATCTGAGATTAGGAGAAATGTGGGAGCAGAAAAAATGGCAAACTAGCGCGTCAATGAAGGAAAGTGGGCAGAATTTACCCACTGGTATGTTTCCCGTTGTTTTCCCTTAAGTTCTGTAAAATAACAGGTTATTGCGAAACAGTGCGATTTCATCATATTTCGCGACTCATTCACTAGCATATTTCACGAATTTTGCTTTCCAAGACGATATTCTAAATGTGTTTTACCCCATTGCCAAAAGATTGCCCCCACGTTTCTCAGACCACGCTTTTTTGTCTACTATGACGTCTCGTGAAACCGCCAGCCTCGTTTTAGGCATTCTCAGACGATTCTCATTATCATTTGTTCTCAGTCCACAGAATAGCTACAGTTAACGTACTTTCGCATGCCACGGGACCCTCCAGATGTCGCTCTATCCTCTCGAGATCGGTCTCCAGTCCCGAGGTAGGGGCTTCTGCGTACACAGGAAACGCGTTGCTGCAGCAGAAGCTTTCAGTTTTGTTGCATCTGGAGGAAGAAGATACTTGTTATGCGTCACTATCAGGGATTTGTATTTCCTTGTTCTTTCGCTAGCACTACAGTACGTTCTAATTTAATTCTTTTTTAATTGTTTTCGTAAACTTTTACACCACCCACCCCACATGCCACTTTAAGACCCCATTCCCAGAGATTAGTTCGATCCAACTAGATCGACCTAACTCCCTGGGGGTTCACGCTAAATAGCTGTCAGCCGAGCGGGCACTAAAGTTAATTACCCCCTTACACCTTGTAGAAGGCGGGACGGACATTTAAGCCGGATTATCTGACAGTAATCTAGTGAGACTCCCCACGGGGATAGATCGATCTAAAATCTATGGGAATGCGCCCTAATACTCACTTGGTCACCTGTGGACACGCCACTGACATTGTTCCTCCGCCCATAAAATTAGGCCGTCTGTGGATGCACCGTTTCATTACGATGCAGTCGGCGTCTTGCAGCATTCTCTCACAAGTCCTGACCTTTGTCCCCGGCACCGCCCCTGCCCCGCACCCGCCACAGCCAGGAGAGGTCGTGTTCAAGGAAGCGGGCGCCAGTGAAACTTTCTGTTTCGTCAGGTCCTGAAGAGAGTATACAGAGTATAAATATAAGATTGTGTTTTGATGGAGAAATGATGCTGCCCCGCTGCTTATCTTTCTTTTTTCCTCTCTTTCTCTCTCCCTCCCTCTCTCCCTCCTCTCCCTCCTCTCCCTCTCTCTCTTTCCTCCTCCCTTCCCCCTCTCTTTCCCACACCCTCTCTTTCTCTTAGTCTTCCTCATATTCTTTATCTTTTCACCTTTTACAATAAACCGGGCTGACTTGACGTAGGCTGCAAGTAGGCCTACTACATGTATGAATGACGTCAAACTCTTAGTCTACGTCAGTTGATTTTTTATGACAGCGATAATAAACATATCAATAATTTTGATATTTATGAATTATTTTCATTATTCGCATTATGACCGTAGCTGCCCATTGTTTTCGCTATCTATTTTGACTGCTCTGGTATCAGAAAATTCCCCCAGAAATGATATTTTATCCCAAGATGACTTTTGATATTACGCCATCCACGTTTTCTATCAAGAAATTAAAAACACGTTTTAGTCATTTTTTGCTTTGACGATAGTTCTGTGTCTATGTCGGAGCAACCCTTATCAGAACTGAATCACGTGGACAGTTGTGAGTCATCAATTGCAGTCAAAGGCATACATTTGCCTTTATAAAATGTCAAAATGATTAATTGATTTGGAATTTTCATGTCTTAAATAGGCACCACCTTTTTTTCTTTATGATAAATACGAATGATTTAATCGATGAATCAAAATACGACAATACAAAGAGGTGTAGAGTTCTACTAATCTTTGGATAAACCAAGAAGGTACACGTTTACGTATATGTATGTTTATTTATACGTTCTACCTGTATTAACGATGGCAGCCTGGCGTCTCATCTGAAACTCTTTAAGGACATGTTGTGTTGTTAAACGATTTCGTAGAAATAAGTAGACTTTACTTGAACCAAAATGTTAATAAGCAGGATGTAAGCAAAATATACATTTTAGTCAGACAAACGGTTTTCACGTCAGACGACATCGCCAGCCGCCACGAGGCACGCGGAAAAGTCGTGGACGCGTGACAGGACAGGACCACACCTCACCGGTGGCTGGAAACGGAGACATTAGTTTTTTCTTACGCATGATCCTATCAGAAACCCCTATAATAACTTTGTTTAAATGTAATATTATTATTATTATTATTATTATCATTATTATTACTATTATTATTATTGTTATTATCTTTTTGGAGCAATATTGTCTAAAAGTTATAACGGTTGACAAAGTATATTCCTTTGTAATTTTACTCGTGCTAATATTCTGTTATTTCAAATAGGGGGTCTGTATTATAGACGAGACATTCGCAACGGGAAAAATATTCTTGAAAAGGCAATATTTTTGACGAAACTTTGTCAACTTCATCTTTGTCTTCGGGGTCAACTTGTCTTCCTTTTAAGCGCCTCGTCGTGGTCCCGGCGACGTCAACCACATCAATGTATAACACCAATGAGACAATGTGTCGATGCGGTATTGCGGTCTTCCTTATGACAAATTATAACCACGAAGTGGTCGATCGTTCGCTTTCTGTAGCTTGGTATAGCTATCACCGTGTTTTCGTATAACGATTTTTAGAAATCATAAACGTAGTTATACATGTATTAAGTCAACAGACTTTTTATTGTTGTGCTTTGTATTTTTTAGATCTTATAGTGTAATATATGGAGTTACGGGGTCTCAAAACATTTGCTGAAATGGCGCAATTATATGATAAAACTAGAGTGGATTTATTCTGTCCAACGCTGATAGTTTACACACAGCACTGCAGAGTATAAACAGCGTTTTCGAAAAAAAAAATCCGTTTTCTGTGGAGGGGGGGGGGGGGGGGGGGGAAAAGATTTGTTCCGCTTAAACTAATTTTCTCGTAAAACGTGTGCAGATACGGCGGTAATATTCATAATAAGGGAGGCTAACTGTTCTTCATCTTATTGATGTCTCGTATCTGCCACTGCACCGGTGTATTGAACGTAAAACTATACCATACCGCTGTTATATACAATTAACGGAAGTTTTGTGAAAGCGATCCCACTTATGACTCATTTTTAATTCAACAGCTGAGAATTAATTTACGGGCTGCACTCTTCAAGTTTCAACCGGAATAAAATATTTTTCCTCGGGTGCAAAAAATGAGGTCGTAATCCGACATACTATAGAACGAACTGTTGTTTTAGTTTTACTTTTATGTTATGAAAATCAGCAATGGTTGATGTAAACAGAACGTCCAGATGTTAGTCTGCGTCTTAAAACATGCAGCGTCACGAAAAATGGTGCAAGTTTAACTTTGGGCAAAGATCGTCAAAATAAACTTATTCATCTTCTTGTCCTATTTTAAGTCATAATTGTCAGTCTTTTAAAATTTGCTGGGAATTTGATGCTACGAACTAAAATACTCGCCCAAAAACCAATGCTTAATCTTATAAGCATCAAAAGCTATCCGCGTCAAAAGAAATAAATATATGTTTTTATCAATGTTATTAACAAGCTGCATCTATGACAAATAGAATTTTTTTCTATAGGAACAAAACTTGTTTTTACATAAAAATCAGTGATTTGAGCTTCAAAACGGGTTCAGTCTATTTAAAAGACAAATTGTGTCTTATACTGTCACTGTACAATAGACAACGAAAAACCTATTTTACCAACCTATGTTACCAGACAAAACAAACTTGAAAACGACTTACTTGTGGCACTCCGTTAGTCAAACCCACGACCAAGGCAACGACTGCTAAAACACCAGCACTTGTTAACACCATCATGAACGGATTAAAACTTCTACTGTTAAGACAGGTGAATACGTAGTTCACTGTTTGAAGTATCGGCGGCCTCAAGTATCCTGACTCTCCCCACCTGATGCTCAGTTCTTCGAAATCCAAATGTTTACATGGTTTATATATATATATACACCCCACTTCCCGGAAGGCAGCAGGTCGTATGATCCGTTAATCGGGGGCTCGGTGTTACTATTATATCAGTGGACGAAAATTGCTTCGTCACGGCGAGTGAGTATCCCGAGCCTGTCGGCGATTATTTTTAACCGCAGCCGTGGATATTTTTTATTGCTGTGCGTTGTCGGGAATATGGACCAAAGCCACTAAAGATAGGAGATTGTAGTGAGTTTATTATTCCCGCGGTTTACCTAATTGTCTGTCCTTTGTGTCGTGATTGTAAAGGCAGTGCCGCGTTTCTTGTCCTATTTATTTCGATTTATCTAGCAACTCACTTAACCCGTTTTTTGTCATTCTGTTGGGATAATCATAAATTGTTCGGTCATCCCTCCCCCCAAAAAATGATAATAAATAAACATGCGTAGGCCTATATGTATTTGGAATAAATCAACGCCTGCCCAGAAAGTAACTAATCCAACTGACTGAAAGTAGAGTAAATTGCAGGACCATGATCGTCGATGCCTACACCAGGTCTGACACTTGAAGAGAAAGAGAGAAATATGTAAATAATAATAATAATAACAACAGATAAAAGTAAGAAAAAAGTTTAAATCTTATGTCGCTAGTTATGGAAACGGTGGATCGGTGTGCTGTTTCAACATCAATTTAAACTGTGTTTTAAGAAACAACCATCTGTCCCCATTGTAAATAATGACAAAGACCCACAAGGGAGAAAGAGGATAGTTACAAGTTACAACAATAACATCAGTAGGCTTCCGTAAGTTCCGTTAAATACAGGGAGGTGTACATTCTTTGTCACATCCGGGTACTGCACTGACTTAGTACGCGTGTACTTTATGAATGAACCTAATAACGTCCCACTGCTCTCTCCTCCGTGTGTCGGATAAAACAGGATAATGTTCAGATATGGACATGATAAACAAGCGTCCACAATAAGGATAAGCCTTAATCATAACATGCTATAGGTAATCGAAAGAAAGTTAAAATGAGTGACTGAAAAAGAGGAAATCATAAATAAAAAATAATAAATATATCTAAATCGAAGGATGTTAAAAAAATACTGTAAAGTTGATAGCTAATATGTGCATCTTCACTGATTGCAAAAAATAAAAATAATGAGAAGAAGAAGAGGAATCAAATAAATTAAAGAATAGGGAGTAAATGAGTGCATGTTTAATTTCCTTCAGAGTCAACAAGGGAAGAAATTTCTTAAGTGTTAGGAAAAGTTTGAAAATATCAAAGTCACATATACTTTTATTTGATTTGTTAATTTCAAAATAGAATTGTTAATTACTGTTGCGTTTTCAGTCCCGTTTTCTAACACGTACCAACAGAGCTTCTGATATGATCCAAGTATGAATAATTCAAATTATTTTTAAGACATTTTATTGAAAATGAGAATCTTAGAAATTACATAATAAGGAAATACTGAATGGTTGAATGCAACATGAGAATGGAAATATTTTAGTAATCATTTAGACAATGGAAAGAAAACAAGTAAAAACGTGATCAGTGAGGAGAAATAGAGAATAAACATTATTGAATTTGTATGAAAAGTTAGTCGATGAATCAATGCTTGAAAGCTCCAGGTCGTCGTTATCGTCATTTTCATAGAAAGAAAAAAAATGAAAATAAAAGAAAGAAAGAAAAAAAACTGAAGAACTGATTAGGATACATATCAACATTTCACAGTCACAAAAAAAAAAAATAAAAAATAAATAAATAAATAAATAAATAAATAAATAAATAAAATAAAATAAAATAAATAAAAGCTTTGAACCGTATTATTATAGAGAACTGGTAGCCTACCCTTTCCTTTGACACATAGGCATACTAACCAAACTCAGATTACTCACGTTCACACGGCTATATGTTATTTCTGTGACATAATTACCTGGCCATCTATGAGCAATAGGATAATCATCCTTTTATTTGCTTGATGCTATCATAGGGAGTCATATACTTCTGGACACTGTCATTCATTTATTCATGCAAAATTGCATAGATAATTAATTAATAATTCATTTACGTTTACATCTTTGTGTGTGTGCATGTGTGTGTGCATGTGTGTGTGTGTGTGTGTGTGTGTGTGTGTGTGTGTGTGTGTGTGTGTGTGTGTGTGTGTGTGTTTATGGAAGGAGGGGATTATCAACGGCTGTCCATACCCTCGGCATTGCCGTCAGTCCTCAGTCCTGGTTTCTCTTCTCTATTGTCCTGTATGTGTCATAAGCTGGTAATACCACGAACAGCTCTTCGCTTCCCGGAACTCGCGGTGGCTGGAAGATCGTTTTAACCAAGGGCGTATATTGAATATATACGTCCTTGTTTTAATCAATGTGTAATAAGGACGGTTGTTTAAACCAGTGTGTTTAGATGATCGTTCAGGTCAATGTGTAGTATAGGATCTGTGCTTCAGGCCGATTGGACTGGATAGAGGTGGGTAGGCTATAAAGGAGGTAGAAATTAGATAAATAAATAAATAGAATTGAGTATTTGTCAGCCAAGGGGAAAATTGAACAGTTATATCAAAGTCCATTTAAATTAAGTTTATTTTCTATCGGTATCTATTTAAGCAATGAAACAATCTCCGTTAAACGTTTTGGTTGATTAAAAAAAAAAAAAAAAAAAAAAAAAAAAAAAAAAAAAAAAAAAAAAAAACGAATTATTATATGAACACTATTAGCAAAGAGATAAAGATATCAATGATTAAAATAAAAGCAACGAAAAGAGAACTATGTCGACCTTATCAGATTATTTTGTAACATTTTGCTAAGCTACAATTCATATAACTACATTATTACGACTCCATATATGACCGACATCTTTTAATCAAAATTATATAGTAATGCGTCAGAACATTTATTTAGCTTCCTATGTTAAGTCAACACAAGAACCCCAGAATGTACACAATGGGCATCCGCTTTCCTCCGGAAGATAAGAGAGGTGATGCACTGGGACAGCACGGTTTACCACGGTTGTGGAGCGTCTTGACCAGGTGCGTTTTGTATCGGTGGTTGTTCGTTTTCATTAACAACTATAAACATTCCTCTAGCCGTCTAGAGATTTGGGAGTCAGACGACAGGTTTGTGAGTTCAAATTTATTTCCCTAAAAGCTAACCTATAACCCCGTTTCTCTCTTTAACCATGGGTTCCACAATACCGCGTTAATCCAATACGAGACTGACAAAACCTGTTACTCCATTCATTTTCATAATCACCCAATATACTAGTACGGTACAGGTACCGGTACATGTCCGGTTGTACAGGGTACTTTGATCTGCATCCTTGGGTTTATTTCATTCAAAATTGGAATTTTTAGGGGGCTTCTATTAATGAGTATAATAGCAGTTTATAAGATAAAGCAATGAAAAAATAATGTACCTTCTATTTCTGTGAAAGTTTCTTATGAAAGTTTCTTTGAGACTAGGAATCCTTTAGGACACTATGGGCCAGTAGAAAACACGTCTTAAAGACCATGTAGGATTTCGGGTAAATTTCTCATACTGGTATAGGGTCCTATAGCTAGCTAGGACACTTACTAGTACCCGGTATCATAAACAGAAAGGAGCAGCCCAAAAGAAATTCGGGTCAAATATTCTTATAGGGTGTCCTATAGGACCCTACCAGTGTACGAAATTTCCTACATGTAAATCGCAATAATGATGATAATAATAATGATAATGAAAATAATGATAATGCAAATAATAATAATAATAATAATAATAATAATAATAATAATAATAATAATGCATGTAGAGATCATCTACCTCATGGCAGAGGCTCCTGTGTTGCTGTCGGCCGTGGTGTGCCAGTATAAACAGTGTGGCCAGGATACAGCAGGAGAAGATAGGACAGAGGTCAGGACCTTTGAACCAGAACAGACAGGTATGGAATAAAAAAATAGAATTATTCTTTGCTTAGAGACTGTAAATAACACGAGTAAAACATAACGTCTAGTTCACCATCTATTGACCTTGGACAAGGAAGCTATGGTTAACCCTCGGAAGCTGGAGGCGCTGGACGCAGTTGAGTGTGTGTGTGTGTGTGTGTGTGTGTGTGTGTGCGGGAGGTTGGGGGTGGATCCTGATGGAAACTGCTTTTCGACCTTTGCGGTGGTAGCACGATTCATCTATCGTAAGTATGTAGTATGTATTGGCATTAATATATTAGCGTACCTTATAAGGACCGAGTACTACTACAGTACAAAATTGTGCCGTGATGACCGATGTTTGACAGTGTCTGGTCTGTTACTTTATCATTTGAACATTTTAACCTCCTTTGTTTTATTTTATTTTATTTTGTTTGTTTATTTTTTTTATTCGATTTTTTTTTGTTTCATTCTGTTCTATTTTATTTTTCTCTGCCTTCTTATCAGAAAAATTAAAAGGAATGACCGAAAGCCTGAAGAGATGAATGAACATTTGTCGTAAGTGAAAAATATAACATGGGAAAATTATAATTTATAACTGATTTTAATAGTTTTTATCTTAGATTTTATTATTTAAGTACAATTTTGCTGTTTTTCTTAAAAAAATAGGACTGAAGGAAACCAAAGCTCTTGTAAACTGGCATGCTTCTGGCGACGCCACCTTTCACAGGAGATGCTGGGTAGAATTGACTGAGAAGTGCAAACGGACGGAAGATGGCGTTAGTGCAGAGGAGATCAAAATGATAAAAGAGGCAAAGAAAACGGCAGAATATTTTGATTGTGATGAGAGAGTGAAGTCGGAAGCGAAGAGGGTGTCTCAAATGATAATGACCTCCAGCCACTGTATAGCTTTTACAGGTGCGTGGAAATAGTCGGTGAACTTATTTTTTTTTTACAGAATGTATATTCTTTGAAGCATTTGTAGGCGTATACTGGCACTGTACATATGCCGTATCCAGCCACTGTTCGCGCCATGAAATCGCGGCTCGAGTCATTAGTTCGGCGTTCGCAACCACAAACGAAAATTTCGTTTTTAAGGCCTGTTTCGGAGATATGTGAGATAACCTGTTGCATTATTTTTATTCATTTTACTCAACTTTCATCATTTTTA